GTAAAGAAAACAAAATTCCTCACCACTGGACGAATAAACAACATTCTTATCAACAGAGAAAAGACTGAAGCTGTCAAGGACTTCATTCTTCTTGAATCAACTATCAACACTCATGGAAGCAACAGTTAAGAAATCAAAGGACGTATGACATTAGGCATATCTGCTGCACAAGACCTTTTTTAAAGTGTTGAAGAGCAAAAATGTCAGCTTGAAGACTAAGGTGGGCCTGACCCAAGCCATGGTACTTTCAATAACCTCATATGCATGCAAAAGCTGGACAGTGAATAAGGAAGACCGTAGAGGAATTGATGCTTTTGAGTTACGGTGTTGGAGGGGAATAATGGAAGTACCATGGGCTGCCAAAAGAACCAACAGATACGTGTTAGAAGAAGTGAAGCCAGAGTGCTCATTGGAGGCCAGGATGGCCAAACTTTGTCTCTGATACTTTGAACATATTGTCAGGAGGGACCGGTCACTGGAAGAGGGAATCATATTTGGTAAGGTGGAGAGTCAGAGAAAAAGAGGAAGACCCCCAGCGAGATGGATAGGCAAAGTGGTAGCATCAATGGGCTCAAGCGTGGCAACAATTGTGAGGTTGGCCCAGGACCGGGCATTGTTTCATTCTGTTGTGCATAGGGCTGCTATGAGTCAGTATTGACTCAATGGCACCTAACAACAACAACATGATGGGAGTCCTGGTGGGGTGCTATGGGTTGATACACTGGACTGCAAGGTTGGTTTGAACCTCAGAGTTGGTGATTCAAGCTCACCAGCCACTCCTCAGAAACCCTGTACGGAGTTGCCATGAGTCAGGAATAACTCGATGACACTTAACAACAACAACAACAAAATATGATGGCTGGAAGTTCAGTTTCCTTGGCAGGGTCAGACCAAATGATTTCGTGGGCCTTATGTGGCCCATGAAAGTCCAGGTATGGCACTGTGGGATTATGAGCTGAACTGCAAGGTGGGTTTGAACCACAAGGGCACGTCCTTGGAAATCCTATATATGATTGTTATGAGTCTGAACCAACTTGACAGCACTTAACAACAACAACAACAACAACAACAACATACGGCCTATGGGCCAGACATTCCCCACCCCTGGTTTAGAGTCATTGGTGACCTTCTGGTCTCGTACTGATGACTGTTAAGTGGCATCCTGGTCTCACAGGTAATACCCTTTATGTTGTGTGGGTCTTTCTACTGTCTCACTAAAATGTGGTCTGAAGGGATAGTTTCAGCTCCAGGTTAACGTGTGTCTCAGGACCGTGTTCTCAGGGAGTCCGCTGGTCTCTCTTAGTCCAGAGTGTTTGCCTTTGTCAGAATTTGAGTTTTGCTCTCCATTGTTTCTCCCATTCTATGCAGGGCCCCTGTCAGAACGGTCCGTGGCGGCAACTGCACCAGTTCCCCACTGCCTTGTCACAAACTAACTGAAGTCCACACATCGCTTCTGATGAGAAGACCCTGGTCCATAAAGCATCGTCCCAGACCTGAGAAGGGATCTGATTGTTGTTGTTGTTGTTAAGTGCAGTTGAGTTGGTTCCAACTCATAGCAACCCTGTATAGGGTTTCTGAGGAGTGGCTAGTGAGTTTGAACAGCCAACCATGTGGTTAGCAGGCCAGTGCTTATCCTACACTGCCATACCAGCCCTCAAATGAACTCCAATGTTGTAGTTGTTAAGTGTCGTTAAGTCAATTCCAACCCATAATGACCCTATTTAGGATTTTCAAGGAGCAGCTGGTGAGTCTGAACCACCAACCTTGAGTTCAAACTGACCTTTCAGTCCAGCACATTAACCCACAGCACCACACCAGGACTCCAATGGTGGTGGTGGTTATATGCTGTGGAGCCGGTTCCAACTCATAGTGACCCTGTACAGGTTTTCCGAGGCTATAAATCTTTACGGGAGCAGAAAACCTCATCTTTCTCCCACAGAACAGCTGGTAGTTTCGAACTACTGACCCTGAAGTTAGCAGCCCGATTCATAACCACTACGCACTATGCTACCAGAGCTCCTTACAGCAGATGGTAAACAACAAATGTCCATTGGTCCCTCTCACAGGGTCTGAAAGTCCTGAATCACAACAAAGGACCCAGGTGATTCTTATGTCCAATCAGTTGGAGCACCATTGGGCCTAATGTGACATACTACTATGTCTCCATTTTCTCCTCTCTTCCCAATGCCTTTATTTTTAAGAATGAGTATTGAATTTCCAATACTTAGAGACTCAGATTTGTTGTTGTTGTTAGGTGCCATCGAGTCGGTACTGACTTATTGCTCACCTCATAATGGATCACCTGTCAAAGGTAGGTGAACATTCATTTTGAGTTACTCTCCTCCCAGCATCCCTCTTTCTGTTCACACACCTCCACTCTCTGAATAGAACTCCAAGCCTTCGGGGTCAGGACACAAGGCCACTATGTTCTACTGTGAGGTCAGTTTTGGGCTGTGCAAAGTTTTGAGGGCACTCACCCCGGTGCTTCCCATGATAAGAAACAAAGCGATGTGGAACCGCCCAAAGCCAATGGTCTCCACAGCATCCTCCACGGTGAATGTTTTTGTCTCTAAGAAGGAGAGGCAACATGTAAGGGAGAGCTTCTGGTGGGGAAGAGCTGTGAGGAAGTATTGCACACACAAGGAGGCACGAAGAAGGGAGTAGGAGAGTCGATCAATTATTATTAAAAACAAATCAACATGGCGGGGTTAGCAGCAACTTGAGCGTTGGCGATGTCCATCATGTGCTTACCTTTCGGTTGGGGCTCTGGGACAGTCAGGCTCAACTTCCGAAGGCTAATGATGGAGACTGGCTCCTTCTTCTTGGCTGCCATTTTCTGAGGGGTCCAAATTCCCCACACAGCTTAAGTGTGGCCAGGAAGACAGGAGGAAAGACCGTGGTCATTGAGTGCATATTATGTGGCAGGTATGTTACACAGAACTTCACAAAACCTTCTCACAGCCATTGGGCTAAGCGTCTACAAATGAATTCCCTCCCTCCTCAAAACAACCCTGAGCTAAGAACTATTATTACCCTCATTTTACAGATGAGGAAACTGAGGTGGGTATTGACAAAGAACAAGACAACAGAATTGATGGAATAAAAATGGAAATCTTTCAAGGAAATACAGCATTGGAGGAACTCATTCATCTCTGCCAAGAAATTTGGAAGACAACTATCTGGAACTATATGGAAGAGATCCATATCCAATCTTTCCTTGAAAGATTTCCATTTTTATTCCATCAATTCTGTTGTCTTGTTCTTTGTCAATTCCTTCAGATGAGGAAACTGAGGTACACGATGAGCAAATTCCTCCTAACCACACAGCTGAGACAGAGCAGAGCAGTCATGTGACAATGTGGGTCCAAACACTTCATCAGAGTCTAGTGTGGGTCCTTTGAGACTCTGTGTGAAATGTGTTCACCTCGTGTTATAGGAATACCTCATTTGGTTACACTTTGCTTTATTCCATTTTTCACAAATCGAAGGATCCTGATAACCCTGAATTGAGCAGTATTATGCTAATCTCCTGTCCTGGTGTCAGATTTTGGTCATACTCATGATATTTCAAACCTTTTTTTTTTTTTTTTTAATCATGTTATTACACATTTAATAGATGACTTTGATTTGTTCTGGTAAGCAAACAAACAGACAGACATTGTGTCTCCCTTTCCTGTGGTATTGATTTGATTGCGGTGGGTTGGAAGCAAATCTGCAATGCTTCCGAGGTCTGTCTGTAATATGGGCTCAGTAAGCAGTGTGTTTCTTCCCTCCGTCGCTTCCAGCAGAGAAAACAGACTCTGTGACAAAAATAACCGCCAACACTTTATATTCCTCCTCTTCCAGTCTGCCTTCACATGGATTGTTTCATATCATTCTGACGGAAATCTGGGGCACATTTCTGTTTAGTCCCCTTTTTTGACATCAGAAAATGTGAGATTCTTTACCTGAATAAGAAAATCAAGATCTGCCCATCAAGTTGGTGACTGAACCACACAGAGGAAGATATGTCCTATGAATTTAAGACACTGTCATTTCAGGGCCACGAGCCCTGCAGCCCAGTGGTCAGTCATCCAGCTGCTAACTGAAAGGCCTGTGGTTTGAAGCCAGCAGCTTCTCTGTGGAAGGAAAGACCTTGCAATCTGCTCCCCTGAAGATTACAGCTTGGAGAACCCTGTGAGGCACTTCTACTTTGTTACATGTGGTTGCTACGAACTGGAACCAAGTCGATGGCACCCAAGAGCAACAACAATATGAGTATAACTATGCATCACTAGTAGGGTAAAGCCGTCCTGGTGTGGTGCTGTGGGATAACGCACTGGACCAAAAGATCGGTTTCAACTACAAGGTCGGCGGTTCAAATCCACCAGCCACTCCTCGGAAACCCTATATAGGGTCTCTATGAGTCAGAATAGACTTGATGACACTTAAGACTGCCACCAACAACAGTAGGATAAAGAAGAGTTCTGGTGTGGTGCTATTGGATAAGTAAGTACTGGATTGTCAACCACAAGGTTGGCAGTTCAAACCCATCAGCTGGTCCTTCGAAACCCTCTACAGGGTCACTGTAAGTCAGAAGTAATTCAAAGGCACTAACCAAGAGCAGTAAGAAAAAGGGAAATCCTATAGCTCTGGAGTCCTGGTGTGGTGCTGCGGGCTAATGTGTCAGACTGCAAAGTTTTGAACTGCAAGGTCGGTGGTTCAAGCTCACCAGCTGCTCCTTGAAAACCCTATACAGGGTCGCTATGGGTCTCAATCAACTCGAGGGTACTTCACAACAACAACATTAGGTCTTCTGCAATCCACTGGATGGCATGCAACAACACTAACTGTTTTCAGCCATCATATTGTTAGAATTAATATTGGAAGTGTTACTTGGATATTAGTGGACATTGTAGGAGAAACCAAGCCTATAATTATGTTAGTATTAGTAATGTCAGTTGCTGTGATAATGAAGGCTTTGTGACAACTTGACTGGGCCAGGTTCTTGGTAGTTTGACAGTTAAGATGTAACAGAGACCCAATGATGACATCTGCTGTGAAGGCAAGATTTCCTCAGGGGTGTGACCTGCTTCCAATATATTGGACACCCAAGAAAAGCTTGCTTGCTCTCTGCTGGGTTTAGATTCTGCATCTGACTTGTCATCCAACCTCTGGTTCTTTGGATTTGAGCCACTGGCCTGCTCTATTACAACCTGACATCTGACCTGTTGACCTTGACATCTGAACTGCTGACCTTGATATCTGACCTGCTGACCTTGATTCAGCAGCTCCTGCAGCTAAGTAAGTCCAAGCCTCCATCCTGACCCAGAGATTTGGGACTTGCTTGTCTCTGAGAGCGATTTCCTCGATATAAACCTTTCTTTATCCTGGAGTCCTGGTGTGGCATTGTGGGTTAATGTGCTGGATTGCAAGGTCTGTTTGAACCACAAGGTTGATGGTTCAAGCTCACCAGCTAACTCGACAGCACTTAACAACAACAATCTTCATTGGTGTTGCTTCTCTAGTGAACCCCGCCTAAGACAGTTGTCATCGAGTCCAACTCTTGACACCCCCATATGTGTATAGTAGAACTTCATAGTCTTCTCCATCCCGTGACCTTCCTGAAGCAGATTGTCCGGTCTTTCTTCCAAGACATCCTCTGTGTGGGATCAAACCATTCATCTTTTAGTTGAGCATTTAACCATTTGTGCTTAGCAACCAAGATTTTAAATGTTAAGATCAAAGTTGTGTAAAAAATCTTACAATTCTAATTTTGAATTGGAAATGCCAATAAGAACTCCCTAATATGTACTGTTATAGTTAAATGCTGTTGAGTCAGATCTGACTCATTGTGACTATATGGTTCCCAAGGAGTGGCTGGTGGGCTTGAACATGTATACATAGATGGGCTTCAAAAAGTTTGTGGAAAAATTCCATTATCTTTCCATTACATTTTTCTACAAGCTTTTTAAAGTCCCCCTAGTATATATCCAAGTCCTGGTGTGGCACCATAGGATAAATACTTGACCTCAAGGTCAGTTTGAACTGTAAGGTCAGCGGTTCAAACTCACCAGTCACTCCTGAGAAACCTTATACAGTATCGCTATGAGTGAAAACTGACTTGACTGCACTTAACAAACAACACAAAAAAAGTACATATCCAGGAGTCCGTGTGTGGTGTTGTAGGGTCCGCACTGGACTGCTAACCACAAGGCTTACAATTCAAACCCAGTAGCCACTCCTCAGAAATCCTATACAGGGTTGTTATGAGATGGAACTGACTCGGTGATACTTAACAGCAAGTATATAGCCTAGCTCTGCTGTTGTTATTTGAACCTCTGACCTTAAAGTTAGCAGTCCAGTGCTTATCCTACAGCGCCACATCAGGACTCCATATCCTAACTCTAGCTACTAGAAAATATGACTCGTGGCCAGACACCCCACCTTCATGTACTCACCCCCTTGTCGAGGCCAGACCCTGGCAAAATGGAACTCCTAGAGCCCAAATAGTTTTCTTGACCATTCTCACTCAAAGGATCTCAGATACATTTGAAAAATCGCTGATTTCAGATCTGCATCAGGAGATGTACAAATTGAGCCTATAACAACTTATTATGACAGATGGCAAGTAAAATAGCAACATCTAATTGGATTGTAACAAAAGATTTCATGATTCAACTAGACAAGGCTCCTTCTAGCCAAAGATGGGACGATTTGAATATCAAAAAGAATATCAACTGCACACCAAAGATGCTAAAAATCCCTTTGTTTATAGTGACAATAAAATGAAAAACTCATTAGTCACTTTTAGAGAATGCTAATAAGAAACCAACCCATTTTTCTGAAAACAAGTAAAAAAAAAATTTTTTTTTTTTTTGTCTGCTCCTCAGGGTAACCAGTTAGTAAAAGAACATTATTCTTCATAGAGGTATTTCATTTAACACATGCAGAATGAATGATGGAATTAAATATCACTACTTTGCAACTTTGAAATATAGTAGCAGACACATCATAAGTGATGAAGAACTTTACTAGTGGGCAAGACTGAAGACACTTGAGCCCACTGAAAATCCTAACACTGTTGAAACAAGAGTCAGCTAAGCATTCCAGGCTCCTGATGAAATGCATTAAGAATGAAATATACAAGTCCTACTGTGAAGGATTTTTATAGAAAGAAATTGAACCTGAATCTGATCAAATTTAGGAATCTACTCACCAGTTGACACAAGAGATGAAGAAGCTTGTTAAACTTGTTTGTCTACATAATAAGAAAACTCTAGAGTGTGGAAAATTCCATAGAATAAATGACCTAAGTTCTTCAACAAATAAATGGGAAGAAAAGGGGGAAGGGAACTGATAAACTAAAAGAAAAGAGACAAATTAACCAAATTCATGAATGGACCTTAGTCAGATCCTCATTCAAACAAACTCTTTTTATTAAAAAATGGTGGAGAAGTGAGGGTAAGCAGAGAAATTTAACCAAGTTTGGAACTCGTAACTATTAAAGGGTTAGTGGAAATCACTATGAGTCATCACACTGGATGGCAGGGAGTTTGTTTTTTGGCAGTGAGGATTGATATAAGGCATCACAATGATAACATGGTTACAGGAGAAGAAAAGAGTCTTTCTTTTTAGACACAAACTACAGTACATGAACAAGGAACTTCCAGAGGTTCAAGCTGGATTCAGATGAGGAAGTGGAATGAGGGATATCACTGCTGACATCAGATGGATCTTGGTTGAAAACAGAGAATACCAGCAAGATGTTTACCTGTGCTTTACTGACCTTGCAAAGGCTTTCAACTGTGTGGATCATGACAAGCTATGGGCAACATTGCAGAGAGAGTATGC